GCAAATGCGAACTTTTTATAAATAACTGCGACTTAAATTTAAATGACGTAAAACAATAAAATTTAATATTTTGGCTCCAAATATTAAAATAGTTAACAGTAATTTCCTTTATCTTTTAGTTTCTCTAATTTTTGATGAATCTATTTCTGAATATATTAATAATTCAATAACTAAATTTCAAAATTCTGCTGACCGTCTCCTTGTAATTAGTCCACATTGTGCACTTTGCATCTTAAAATTCTGTCTTTTCGTTCCAAAATTTACGTATGTGCTCCGTTGCTGCTCCTTTTGGAATCACCCAGATCTTTTGACACAAGTAGACAACTTAATCAAAATTAGTTTTGGATCGATTCTTAATATGCACCTGAACGAGCAATCTTGGACCCAAGCATCCTCCGTTATGGTGGTTTAGGGATTCGCGAAATTTCCAGTGTCTCTTTACCAGCCTTCCTATCTTCTGTACATAGTTCAGCAAATCTCATAAGTAAAATTTTAAGGGCATCCCCTTCAAACTTTGAGATTGCTGGCTTGGAAGAATCTAGAAACTCTTTCTTAATTGCATGCCCAGGTCAAAATTTTCCTTTTCTCCAAATTCACAGAGGAGCTGGGACGACATAAACTGCAAATTGTACTTATGACAATCTTTTGAGCTGTAGTACAGGTTCGACGCGACAGGCTTTTGGTCGTCGGTACGCATGAGGCAGGCTACTGGCTTCACGCGTAGACTTCGTCAAATACAGGAACATTTTTTGAGCCTGACATGCCTCGAATCGCAACCTGTCGACAAGCTAGGACATCACGAACTGTCATGCTAAAAAAGTGCAGGCTGCTTTTTTTTATAGGATAAGGGTGACAAACGAGCACACAGTCCACCTGATGGTAAGTGGTTGCTGCGGCCCATAGACATCTACATCAATCCTCTATTACAAATCAAAATGTATATGCGTTGTCACCCGTAAGGACTAAGATGGAATGCCTCATTTCCAGTAAAAAGGGCCTCCGGCCACCTGCACTCACCAAGCAAAACGCAGAGGTAAACCTCTACTTCACGCTGGTTTTCTGTGAGGTCGTGACACCACCCCGGTTCGAGCCGGCCCATCCGTGCGACAGCAAAAGCTGCCGCGTGGCTCTACACTGTTAAATGCTTCTCGAGACATGCAGCACTTAACGATATCATACGCCGGTCCCTTGCCGCCGTCTGGTATTGCAAGAGACGATGGCAAGAGACCAGACGGTATGAGTTTGATTCCATGGAAGATGGGCCGGGTGTTGGTATGGGATGCAAGCTGTTCAGACACGCTGGCCCCTTCCCATCTACATGGAACCAACAACAGAGCTGGTGCGGCTTGTGAAGCGGCTGAAAAAGCTAAAGCATGCAAATACGGGGGTCTAGGCTCCGAATATGTTTTTGTCCCATTCGGTGTCGAGACCCTTGGTCCGTGGGGTCCTAGCGCTATAAGGTTTTTTAAGGAAATAGCAAAAAGGTTAGTCGACATCACAGGAGACCGAAGAGTTGGCAGCTACCTCGGACAAAGAATTATTATCTAACTATTGAAAGGGGGAACGCTGCCAGTATCTTCGGAACCTTGCCTAAAGGGACTCCTTCTTAATAATATATTTTAGTTATTATAATATATTTTTTAAGATTTAGCTTAGTTTTAAGTTCATTATTCTAGTATATATTTTATTTTATAAAGTGTGTAATGTAACTTGCTAATAAATAAACATTTATACTAAACAAATGAATAAAAATAAATATGAATGTCAATCATTGTAACATTTTGTAAACTTATAGTAATGAAAATAATGTATTACTTATATTATTGTATTTATGAATGAATTAACAATATATTATAAGTAAAAGACAGGAGAAATGGCAGCGGCATCTTCCAGATAACAGGAATAGTACAATAAAAAAAACTGCGGATACCAACCCGCTGTTCAAGCGTCGCAACTATGGCAAACACCCCCACATGATGACAGTTATGAAGAGACAGCCCTCAGTACCCGACGGCCCCGCTATTCCTGGCTACGGTGACGACCATGGTAACGGCGAGGCAGGGAGTGCTAAGCATCTCCGGTGGAGGTTCGGGTGCCACCTAAGACGATAGGACCTGTTTTTTCAGTGGTAGAGCCACGCGACAGCTTTTGCTGTCGCACGGATGGGCCGGCTCAAACCGGGGTGATACCACGACCTCACAGAATACCAGCGTGAAGTAGGGGTTTACCTCTGCGTTTCGCTCGTTGAGTGCAGGTAGCCGGAGGCCCTTTTTACTGGAAAAGAGGCATTCCACCTGAGTCCTCACGGGTGACAACGCATCTGCATTTTGATTCGCAAACGAGGATAGATGTAGATGTCTATGGGCCACAGCTACCACTTACCATCAGGTGGACTGTGTGCTCGTTTGTCACCCTATCCTATTAAAAAAAATTGAGCACGACGAATGTAAAAAAAGGTAAAAAGAATGAAAGGTAAAAAGTTCCACAAACGTACAGCAGTTACAATTCCTCAGAGCACTCCCCGTGATAGAAGCGATAAAATACGCATAGAGATGCAACATCTCTACGCAGTGCCAATGAGTCAAGTCGATCGGAAAGAACCCGCTCTGCGTTTAATGCGGTCAAGTGGAAGGAGCTGGCACTGGGGAGCCCCTGCCCAGAGATAGGAACAGTATTCTATGTGAGGCCGAACCTGCGCCTTGTAAAGTTGCAAGCCGTGTGCCGGTATGAAATACTGTCCCGCTCTGCTGAGCACGCCAAGCATTTTAGAGGCCAATTTGGCCTTCTCTTCCTTTTATTCACGTGGTAGAGCCATGCTGCGGCTATATTAGTAGTATAGTTGTAGCACGAATGGGTCGGCTCGACCGGGGAAGGACCACGCTCTCACAGAAAACCAGCGTAAAATAGCAGCTTAAGGCTGCTGTGTTTCGTATGGTGAGTGTAGAGAACCGGAGACCCTTATTACTGGCAAAGAGGCACTCCATCTTAGTCCTCACGGGTGGCAACGCATCTGCATCTAGAGTCTTTATTGATGATAGATGTAGATGTCTATGGGTCACAGTAGCCACTTTCCATCAGGTGGACTGTGTGCTCGTTTGTCACCCTGTCCTATAAAAAAAAAAAAAAAAAAAGTGACCACGAAACTGCACGTCACTCGATATGTCGACACCAAGGATCCCGATACTGGCTGAGTTAACAAGGGGAGTTCCTTGAAACTGAGGAGATACGACATAGGGGTTCTTTTTAGAGGTAAACGCGCAAACTTGTGTCTTCTGGGGATTGAACTGGACTAGATTTGATGTGATGAGAATCAGTGATTTTTGTGGTAACGAGCCATTCTCTCTCAGTCCTCAGGGGGACAAAGCATCTGAATTCTGCGACTATGTGAACCCGGACGGAGGATTGCGAATCGCGGAGGGTGTAGATGCTGTATAAACATATGATCCCTAGGTGGTAGGACTTCTTTTTCTGTCTACCTCTTAGCTATTTATGCTCTGAAAAGATGTATATGCACTGTTGTATTCCGGTATATACTCGTATTTTCCACCTTAGCCCTCAGAAGTGACAACGCATCTGGAGCCTTCTTTGTTTGAAGTCGACTACAGGTGTCATGGACTGCAATAGCGGTTTACTGACAGGTGGACTGTAAGTTCGTTTACCATTTCAAATTTGAAAAAAGACCCTAATATGGCCGCGCTGAAGTTTGGCGACGCAGTCTGAATCTAATTGTGCCCCACTGTGTGGAGTCGTCGCATAGTCACATCTGCGCTCTGCATCGATCATATGGTTTTATGAAAGTGGTTGACACTCGTACCGTTAGTATAGAGAAATCGTATTCAACAAGTCAAATAAAAATAGCCTTGCCTCGTACCATACCTAGAGCCTAAATACGCAAAATATTCAATAGTTCATCTAATGCACCAGATTATACGAGTACCAATGGTTGTCAATAAGTGAATTTAGTATCTGGAACTTAACTAATGAAGGGAATTTCATCATCATCATCATCATCATCATTAGAGCCTATCAAAGTCCACTGCTAAAATACTCGTAGTCCTCCCCAATAGATTGTCTCACAATGTGGTTACTTGCCATAGTGCCATTGCCATTATGAAATTTAGTAAATTATTTTACTGTTCAACTACTTAGTTACAGCATAAGTCGCACTTTTAATTGCAACAAATTTGTTTCTTTTTATTTATTTATTTTTGTAGTCAAAACTTATTTTGTATCCTTGTGATTTGAAACTCCATGAAACAAAAGAAGACACTTAAAAGAGATCTATAGGATTTAGACTTCGAGAGAATGAGATAGAATACAAAGAGAATGAGATAGAATACAGTGTTTCCTATTATCTCGGTCTCCCTTTTGTGTTCCGTTCAGTTCCCCACTCTTGTCTACATTTTTGTTTTATATTTCTTTACATAACATGAAACCCAAGCCTAACTCTAATAGTTTTCACTCTTAGAACATACTAGAAATTTATTCTATATCGCTTTACACAAATAAATTGCAATGAGACAAAAAACCACTCGAAAACATAAAAGAGATATATAGGATCTATAGGATTGAAACTTCGAGAGAATGAGATAGAATACAAAGAGAATGAGAGAGAATGAGATAGAATACAGTGTTTCCTATTATCTCGGTCTCGACTTTGTGTTCCGTTCAGTTCTCCACTCTTGTCTACATTTTTTTTTTATATTTCTTTACATAACTTGAAACCCAAGCCTAACTCTAATAGTTTTTACTCTTAGAACATACTAGAAATTTATTCTATATCGCTTTACACAAATAAATTGCAATGAGACAAAAAACCAGACTCGGAAATTTATCTGTAGGACATACAAGCATTTGTTGCGGGATTTGAATTGTCGTAATTTTTTTAAATTTACAATTCATTAAATTAAATATATAAAATTATATTTACTAGAAATTAAATAAAATTACGTGACTTAATAGAAGTTAAATAATATATTTAATTTTCGTATCTTGTTTATTTACAATTCAATAGGCATATTACAGGAAAATGAATTTATTATATCTCCTATAGTAGCAAGAAGAAATGACTTGTAGGGATTGATCCTCACAAACACGTCAGGCGCTCCGATGGCACAGGGGAAGCCCCACGACACGACACCTATTTGACATCCCGTCTCTCTGGATATCAATGCGCTGCCGGAATCACCCTAAAATTATTGGAAAATAGTTTCTAGTTCGCTGTCAATTTCACAGTATACCAGCAACCCCGGTTTGATCCCCGCCACTACCAACGAGATTGGTAACAGCAATTTCAAGTGCTTATTTAGGACCCTCTCAGAAGTGAGATCAGCCTTGTGCTGATCTCACTTCTGAGAGATTGTGGGACGTAATTAGGCTGCAATTTTACATTTACTTAAACGTAATAATAATCATGGGTATCAAAGTTAAAGTACTACGTCTTTGTCCATCTAAAAAATCCTGCTGCTGTTCACGTGCTTCTCCCAGATTAGTGATATTTCACAACTGTCAAAAGTATATAGCCTTGGTGTATAAAGGGGAGATCACCCGCAAACAAGCAGCCCAGAGTGCGATCAACGCTGCGTGTGTTCGGTGGTACGGATCTCATTCTATATAGTGTTGTTCGGAAACTTACAGGGAGTTTGGTATGTAGTTTGGTCCCTGTTTACGCTATTGTAGCACGAAGACAGCGCCTCCATAAGTATATGTCGTATATATGAGATAGTTGCGGAATATATCGGAGCACAGGGTATATAATAAACAACTGAAATCTGTATAGAAGGCCATAACATAAGGGATGAATTTTAATGTCAAAGTTTTTTCTTCGTCTTAATGGATGTAACAGCTCACTGGACTGGACGCACTGCACATGGGCAGGTCGTATTCCAGGACGGATGGAGTTTTCTAAAATCGCCACGCTTGGTATACGGATTTACTATCGCCACGCACTTTTGACACTACTTTGTTTTGCGGTCTGATTTAAGAGACGGTAACCACCATCTATCGGAAAATACGTCGTATTTTTAACCTTTATCGTAGTCACTTCACACGATACCCACTGGCGAAATCTGGTGTCGCCATCATACTGCATAATTTTAACAATTTCCACTTTACCTCACCGCGAAATAGACCCAAAGTTAAACATTCGAAATGTTCATGTGACTGACGGGACAGTGAAAGGGTCAAAGTAGATTTGTTTATAGAAGAAGGGTGATAAACGAGCACACAGTCCACCAAATGGTAAGTGGCTGGTATGGCCCGTTGACACCTATATCTATCCTGATCAAAGAATCAAAACGCAGATGCGTTGTCAGCCGTGAGGACTCAGATGGAATGCCTTTTCCAGAACAGGGTTTCCGGTTCTCTACACTCACCATACGAAACACAGCAGCATTAAGCTGCTGTTTTATGATGGTAGTTTGTGAGAGCGTAGTTCTTCTCCGGTCAAGCCAACCCATTCGTGCTACAACAATAATATACCTGCAGCATGGCTCTACCACCTATAAGATTCATTTAGTTTAAATAACAACTAAACAACATATTTTAATCTAAGCTTACATTGCACATGCCATGTCCGACGGAGTGAAAAGTGCATAATTCCACTTCAGAATTCAAGGGCGGTGCTGGTCCCCAAGTCTGCGACGCCTCGCGTATGGCTTCAGCGCAAAGTTGTGGAGAAATGGTTTCCATATGTAGAAGTTGCAAATTATAAGGTATAGAAGACCAGGTCTGGAAAACGATTATCACATTATTTCATTAGTTCGTAATAGGTTATCATAACTATTTTAACTTGAAAACGCTACCCCCACCATAAGAAGCAATTGTGGAACCAAATTTCTAGGCAATGGCTGAACCGATTTAATTATTTTTTTAAAAATTAAATAGGCTATAATGCAAGGGAGATCCTATTTGAATTTGGAGCAAAATTAAAAACTAAGTGTGGTAAAATAGGTGAAATTTTCTTTATTTTAACTATTTTAATTACATTGCTAAAACAAGAAATTATATTAATTAAGACTAAGATGGAATGTCTCAGCCTGTAATTATGCTGGCTCTCTACACTCTACCTACTCAGTAAGAGAGTGAAACCTTTCCCAACAGATTATTAGACAAAAAAGAAGTACTCAAATAGTGGCCAGCTTGCTGAGTATGAACTAATCCTCAAAGTAATACCTATCAAGTGGTAATATTACTTAAGACCACCAGTGGAGTTAAAATTGACACTTGAGTACCAGGTTTTTGAATTATCTACAGTTCCGTAAAACTAAGCGCAATGATTTAGACCTTATTAACAATAATTTCACAAAGGTCACCAGAATTTTTTTTTATTGGATAGGGTGACAAACGAGCACCCAGTCCACCTGATGTTAAGTGGTTGCTGTTGCCCATAAACATCCACATCTATCCTCAAAATGCAGATGCGTTGTCACCCGTGAGGACTAAGACGGAATGCCTCTTTTCCAGTAAAAAGGGTCTCCGGTTCTCTACACTCACCATACGAAACACAGCAGCATTAAGCTGCTATTTTACGCTGGTATTCTGTGAGAGCGTGGTCCTTCCCCGGTCGAGTCGACACATTCGTGCTACAACTATACTACTAATATAGCTGCAGCATGGCTATACCACGAACACCAGACTTCAGAATCTTGTTCGTGCTGGGCATACAGAAGGTTATGGTGCAGAAGAGCTGAAGAGATGCCTTATGAATAAATAACGTTAATGATAATTGAAAACATTAAATAAAATATAATAAACCATGCAATTTATACTTGCGTTTGTTATCACTTCTTGAAAGTCCAGCTTTATTTTGTGGTTTGGATAGAAACTTTACATACTTGTTTCACATTTATTTTACATTATTAATTTACTAACTATAAAACTAACCGCTATGAGGCTAAACAAACAAGTGTGTAATGTATAACCAAATCACAAAATATACCAAATCAACCAAGAAGTCTGACAAGTAATTCTCAACTAAAAGTTTCTAAAAGTCTCTCACCCCAATCCTACCCCATCCAGTGGCAGAGGTCGGTGTGCCGCCATGAACCCACTCAAAACTCAAGGGCGCAATAGCCACCCTGGCGTTTAGTTCCAACTTTTCCTCAAGCATCAAAACTCCAATGTCGTTTTTGATAGTAACCCAATCCCAGTTAGGATGGTTGACGTGGTGACTGAATTTGGCAATGGTCTTGTTTGAATTCCATTGATTCGACCCTACGACTGCGTGGAATGATCTAAAAATAAAACAATATATTCACTACGTTAAAAACATACTTTTTTTTTATAGGATAAGTGTGACAAACGAGCACACAGTCCACCTGATGGTAAGTGGTTGCTGTGGCCCATAGACATCTGCATCTATCCTCGATTACGAATCAAAATGCAGATGCGTTGTCACCCGTGAGGACTAAGATGGAATGCCTCTTTTCCAGTAAAAAGGGTCTCCGGTTCTCTACACTCACCATACGAAACACAGCAGTGTTAAGCTGCTATTTTACGCTGGTATTCTGTGAGAGCGTGGTCCTTCCCCGGTCGAGCCGACCCATTCGTGCTACAACTATACCAGTAATATAGCTGCAGCATGGCTCTACGTAAGTTTAGATTGATATAGTGTTAGAGGCTATTAAAAGTTTACTGATAATCATAGGTTATTATCCCCATTGATTGCCTTATAGGGAAAATATTCGCCATAATTACCACGCATTGCAGGTGGGTTGGCAACCGCAGTTCTTTTTATTTTTTTAGTTGTAGACAGACAATTAACTCTATCTTCTATCAAGAATCAAATGCAGATGCGTTGCCACCCTAAGATGGAATGCCTCGTTGTCAATAAAAAGGGTCTCCGGTTCTTTACACTTATCATACGAAACAAATCAGCATTAAGCTGCTATTCTTTGAACGTCTGGACCATATAATTGAAGAACTACTCAATCATATTCCGAATGAGAATTAGGTAAGGTTTGTAATTATAAACAGGCTACTTACGACATCAACTCACCACCCCACATGACCATGGGATCAATACAATGTGCAGCGGTGAGTATATGCTGTTTCGACACGATGGAGCCTCCACACATCAGGCTTTTAACGGTATCGCCCCAAACGAGGGCGGCCATGTGTGCGGCGTATCCCTCGGGAGCATCAACACCCCCGACAATCCGTGATTTCTGGTCTTCATTTAATTTTTCAAAAGGATGCCCTGTGAACATTTTTGTGTAATTTTTACGCAATATGTCATGATATTACTACTGCGTGTTTAGTGTTTTACTAAGCTTTGAAGTTAATGTCAAAGCCTTAGTGAAAATTATTAATTCCTAAATAAATATTGAAAGATGATATTAGAAATATGAATTATTTTTTTAATTTTACTTACCGCTAATTGACACACCGAGCACTGCAATTAATACTATGGAAGTCAACATTTTTAAAGTTTAAACAGTTGTGTTTGTAACTTTATTTGAAATTCATCCATTTATATTACACATAATTAGTCACTATCTTTGATATCAGAGATTATTTTTGGATTAAAATTAAAATGAAATGTCGGGTTACATTTTACGTGACTTTGAAATTCCTATTTTAGTGTAATAAAGAAATTTAAGATAAAGAAAGTGAATAATCAGTGATGAAACAAAAACAATAAAGTCCATGAACTTGATTTTTAATGTCTGCTAATTACTATATCGCACAATAAGGTTCAATTAACTTTATTTTAAATATCAAACGTCTCAATTAGCAATATATTATATTTTGCGAAAATTTTGCGGGCAAAACGGGATTCCGTATGCGTATGGCCGACCCGTTTGGAATTCCGAAACGGAATCCCGAAACGGAATTCCGTAAGTATGTGACGGGCCTTTCACTGTCCCGTAAGTCATATTATGAACATTTCGATTGTTAACTTTTGTGTCTATTTCGTGGACAGGGAAAGTGGAAATTATTATAATTATTAATTATGCAGCATGGTGGGGATACTTGATTTCGCCACCATGGGAGTCGTAAGAGACGATTATAGTAAAGGCTAAAAATACATCGTAGTCTCCGATAGATGTCGGTATACCATCTTTGACATCAGACCGGCGACTAAATAGCCCGTGTTCAGCGGTGGGCAGTTACAGGCTGATAAAGGAGAAAAAAAAACTTTAACATTAAATCACACTGGATGTGCGTGTTTTACGAACTTTACATGTCTTGGAAATATTTTTATTACTTAGACATGCAGGTTTCCTCATGCTTTTCTCAACCGCCGGTCATAGTAGGTAATTCAACACTTGAAATTGAAATTAACAATCTCATTAGTGTTAGTGATATATTATCTCGTTTTGTTTCTCAACAGCGCATTGTTATCCAGAAAAACGGGACATCAAATAGGGATCGTGTCGGAGAGCTTCGCCTGCGGCCGCGGAGCGCCTGACGTGTTTGTGAGGATCAGTGCCTTCGAGCCATTTCTTCGTACTACCTTAGCAGACAGTATACATTGATTTTTCTGTGATATGCACATTGCATTGTAACAAGTTACCAAAATAAAATATATTATTGAACTTCCATTAGTTAATGCAATTTTATTATATTTATCGTAAATATGATTTTTATTTATTTTAATCAAATTATTAATTAATAAAAATGATGGCGCATGACGGCTCAAATACCGCACAGAACAAATGTATGTACATATGTATATCTTATAGATAATTATCCGGGTCTGGTTGTTTATGCAAATGCAATTCATATAATAGGTCGAGGAAAACAGATTCTCTTCGTATATTGTTTGTATAAAATTGAATAAAAATCTCGTTGTACTGTTTTTATCTGGCTGGTTTTAATATCAATACATATAGGACATTAAGAAAAAGAAAAATAAAAAGGAAACGGAAAAAACACTTTCCCGCCATTTTTCAATTGTTTTTCTGTCCGCCAATATGAATGAATGTAACCAAGTAATTCGGTACTAATTTAATAATAATAGTTTATCTATTGAATGTTATCTAATGCTTAATTAAGGATAAGAATTTTGGTAATTGTCAAATATATGTTGGTTCTTAGGCGAGTTTTTACAATGTCCTTTGAATTTTTTTATTTATTTTAATCAAATTATCATCCATAAATTCCTTAATATTAATTAAAATAAATTAATTATAATAACCCTTTTTATACAAACTTAGTTTAACAAAGTTTTTGAACTTCAAGCAGGTCACATTTTGTATATTTTCTGGAATTTTGTTGTAAAAGCGTATACATCACGCCAAGAATGAATTACTGATTCGATGGAGTCGGGTAACTGGTACTACTAGTTTGTGTCTGTTCCTAGTATTTACAGAATAAATATCACCTATTTTTGTAAAACTACTTTTATTTTTGTGTATGTACATTACATTTTTATCATTGATTTTTATAAATGTATTGAGAGGCCAAAGTTAATATATTAATCTCCTTAAATTTATATTGCTGCGACTCTTTAGGCTTTAAATTATAAATTGCTCCTATGGCCCTCTTCTGTACAATAAAATATAATTTCAGTGTCAACTGCGTGTCCCCATAGCAATATACCATACGACATTATGCTATAGAAATAGCTAAATTAAACTAGTCTAACTGCTTCAACACTGGTAAGATTTCTAATCTTTTTTACAATTTTTTTTTTTATAATTTTTTGGTTTTGATATATGAGGGCTCCATTGAAGCTTCGCGTCTAGTGTGATTCTAAGAAAAATGGTGGTATCGACAACTTTTGGCGCAATTTCTTGTCGTAATTCTTCGCTCGGGGTAATTACCATATGTCATAGACATGGTGTTCCACCAACTATCGGAGGGCCGAAGGTCTTTCTAACCTTTCCCATTGTCACCTCTTACAACACCTATGGGACTAAATGTGGTGATGGACTCTTCTACGGCGCCACCACATTTCAAAAATTGAAATAATAATATGAGAGTTCTTTTAAAACTTAAACCTTACTGAAAGGTTAGATAAGTACTCGTGTTTGAAACGTGACTTCAACACTAATTGAACTTGTTGTTACTAATTCAAATTAGCAGTGGTTCTATAGAACGTGCCGTGTAGTGGCGGTGTAAGAATATCGACTAACCCACATCGTACCGTGGGTGTCGTAAGAGATGACAGAGGGAAATTTAAACAGGTGATGTGCAGCAGCATCTTCCTGATAACAACTCCAAATGATAAAAAACTGCAGTTGACAACTCGCTCGCCAAGCGTGTCAACTAAGGCGAAATCCCCCGTATGTGGTAATCTATGGGGGAGGCCTATGTTCAGCTGTGGACTTTTATAAGGGAAGGATGGATGTTACAAAAGCCTTTTTTTCTACATTTACATACATTTAGTAAATTTTTTACAAATTATACGCCAAACAGTATCCTATAGTCAAGTACTTATACTAAGTAACTTATTGTAATACAAGTTACTTATTATAAGTACTTAACTATCAGATACAACCCACCTAAAGGCCGGCAGCGCACCTGCAATTCCCCTGGTGTTGCGGTTGTTCATGGACGGCGGTAGTCACTTACCATCAGGTGAGCCGCATACTCGTTTGCCTCCTTTCTGTAAATAAAAAAAAACCTACCCTGTAGTCAGGTGATAATTTATTCAATGCATAACTTTTATCTGGACTTTAAAAAATCAGCACAATAACAAAACAAACATTTCCCAAGCCCGTGTAAAGTGCTCACTTATGACTTTCAATATTGTTTACTCTGCCTTGATAAGAAGTTGCGATATCGTTAAGAAACACAAACTTCGTCCTTGTCTGACTTGACGTTCATATATTTTATAGGTTAACGATCTAATTTCGTGATTAATACTGTTGAATTCGTTATCGCTGCTCTGATTTTGTGAGTATATGTTTAATTGCACTAAGAATTTTAAGAAAAGTTTATCTAATTGAAAACTTACTACAATATTATTATTATTTTGGGGTATCTATAAAGTTTTCTCATCTGGTTGGGCAGTATAAATATATAATTGTAAATGAAAATGGTAAACATACATAAATATCAATAAAATAAAATAAATACATAAAAAATACATAAATATATAAAAACCCAACCAGATGGAAGCCCTCAGCAGGGGAGACCAGACGTCCGAGGGTTAGGGGGAAAGGGAAAGAAACCGGCGGACGATACGGGCGGTATCGAGGAGCACCGCCTTCTGCATTTGAGCCTGGAGCGGTCCGTCACGGAGTCCCAGTCGCCTCAGATGACCTGAGAGACTGACTGGGATTAACCCGTTCACAGAAACGACCACAGACATGCATATCTTCCCGTGGGTGTTGTAAGAGGCGACAGAAGGAAACTGAGACGGAAGATGGGCAGCAGCATGTTTCTGATAACATCACACTACAATAAAAAAAAACTGCGATTACCAACCTGGTCGCCAAGCGTGGCAACTATGGCAATATTATAACCCCCGTGACGAGATTTACAAAAAAATTGCCCCCAGACCCCCGCTAATCCTGACTTACTGGCGACCATGGTAACGGCGGAGCATGGTAACGGGGGTGCTAAGAATCTCCGACGGAGGTTAGTTTGTCACCTAAGACGACTCGACCTGGCAACATACAACGAACTCACCCTGACGACGAGAAGATCCTGAAGTTGAAAGAAGAGACAGACTAGTTGCGCTGGGTTATTACAGGATAGGTCCGTAAAGAGGAGGAGGACACGATAATCCTCAAATCCGGCAAATTGTTCTATCACCGGGAGGGCGACCATCTGTCCCAAGGAGGTGTCGGATTTATTATCGTCCACAAGTCTCTCGTTAACAACGTTGTAAAGATTGTGAGTGTGTCGACGAGGGTTGCGTAACTTATACTCAGAATCACCAAACGGTATTCGTTGAAGGTCATTAAGGTTTACGCACTAACCTCGGCACATCCCGATGAAGAGGTGGGGGAAATGTATGAAGATATCTGTAAAGACATGCATTTCTCCAAAACCCACTATACGGTGGTAATGGGAGACTTCAATGCAAAACTAGGCATAAGAGAGAACGTTGAGCTGAAGGTAGGGAAATTTGGAATTGAGCAATGGAACCAAAGAAGCCAGTAGCTGCCCGACTTCATAGAGAAAGAGAGACTCATTATAGTGAACTCTTTCTTCCAGAAGCGGTCTCACAAGAAGTGGACCTGGTCAAACCCCGACGGTTCGACAAGAAATGAGATTGACTTCATTATGATGACTAGACGGGACTGTTCAG